AATCTATATTTAACACGACCCGATCATATTCCTAATTCGAATTCACATGAAAAACATGCATTGATTTACATGATTTATCACACATGATTGCACATGCCCTAGATATTATTCCTAATACTTATTGTCCTTGTGTTGATTTTGCCGCATTATAAACTTATTGTGAGTATTCCTACACTACAACAAGCAACTTACTATCTAATTGGTGATCAAACAATCAAATAATTTAATGAGAATGCAAAACCAATCAAGAAAAATAAGAAGTACTAAATTAATTGTCTCAAATTAAAACAAATAAGCAAAATGATTCATCATTCATCCAATACAGTGAAAAACTAGCATAATATTCTTATAATTAAATTATATAAGAATAATTGAAAAAACATCACCCAGAAATACGAAAGATGAAAGAAATAGGAAAAATCTACTTTCTTGATGTGAATCTTGAATCTGAATGAAAAGTCTTCAATATCCTATGCAATTCTCTTCAATATCCTATGCAATTCGCTTTGATTCTACGTTGTTAGTCATGTTCTTCGCCTCCAAAATATGTATAATATATAGATTTTTAGGTCTAGAGAGGTTCTTAATATGTATTCTGATGTTCTCTATTTGTAGGAGTCAAAAATTGGTAGAAAAAAACTTCCAAATTGATTTCCAAAAGAGTTATAATCGAATAATAAAAGTTGTGTTGGCGCGCATATTTTTTTGTCTCTGCACAGCAGTCCGTATTTTAGTCATAACTTTCTCTCTTGATATCCGATTGAGACGATTTAAAGTTAGTTGGAAAGATAACTCAAAGGTCTACCACTTTACTAGAAATAAAGATTTTTCAATTCAAACGTTTACTATACCAAACAAGGGTCTTAATTTTTTGCTAAAAATCTGAAATATATCTTGTGCGATTTGAAATTGATTGGATAATATTTTGATCATATTCCATTCCTTTTTGAATTCTAATTCTGTCCAATTGTCTCCAAACAATTTTCAAAGTACCTTCTTGAGGTCCGAATCAACCATTGAGTATTTGCAGTTTAATCCTCAAACTTTGAATTTCACTACATTTTGCTTCTTTTCTCCAATTATTCATCAATTATTGTGTTTTACCTATAAGATACAATGTAACACAATTTATGTCATATTTTTCCAAAAGAATAATAAAATTCTATAATTTCAAACCCCGAATAAATGTAGAAAATACACTTATCACCAGCCTCAAATTTTTAACAATCAATAGATTAATTTACAGAAATGGTGGGGATGGAGTTTTTGGTTTTGGGTGTAGATTGATGATAATGATGGCGATTAGTTTTTGTTTGATGGAGGTAGTTGGTTTTGGTTTGATGGTGGTGCGACGGTTTACTTCATAGCTCGTGCGCAATGGTGGGGTGGGGTTTTTGGTTTTGAATGTAGGTTCGATGGTGGTTGTGGTAGTTGGTTTTGGGTTGGCTGTGGTTGGTCGGCTTATGGTGGTGCCAACATTACTGGGGGCTGTGGGGAAAGGAATTGGGTTTGAGGTTTTTTGGTTTATTTATTTATTTAATGTGGTAATTATCAAGTTATCATTTTACCCTTTTTTATTAGGAAAATTGATCAAATTTTAACTTTTTGGTCAACTATCGGCGAAATTTGGACATCTGTTGTATAATTTTGAAAGGTTAGAGACCTTTGTTGGTACACATTGAAGGTTAGATAAGGTCTGCAAAAAGGTAAAAGGTTAGGACGCTGCTGCAATTTTCCCGTTTTAAAATTACCCAAAAATTTTGAATTCTCAAAATAACCTGCAATGCACATTGACCCGTTGGTTTCACTAAAAATGGGGAACGATTTAAAGGAGAGGGAAAGAGGGAGATGAGTTCATCACCCTGTGGCACCAATTTACCTTGTGTTACTGTGCTCAACTTCTTCATCCCCAAACTTGGTAAGAAATGTCAGATTTATTGGTGTAAAAAGGGGCTTTGTATGTTGAACCGTAGTCAATCTGATTATTGTGAATGATTTAATTTCAACTCAACTCCTTACAATTTATTTTTTTTCCCGTAATTGTTGTTTTTTATAAGGTAATCTTCCTCTAGCAACTGCGATTTTCTCGACAACATTTCTCTTAATTTTTGACGCGGTTGGTTTTCTTTTCGCTTTTTGAACTGCCGCCCCTCTAGTGTAATTGGTGAAATATCTAGGACCAAAATTCTGTGGGGGCAGTTTCCCTAAACTTCAGTGGGTACCGCCCCTGGGCAGAAGAAGAGTAGACAACAATGGCTAAAAAGTATTTTTGTAATGGAAAATGTGATATATGAAGTTGAAATATTCTTTATGAAGTTTCCCTAAACTTCATTTACACTTTCTTTATCAAAATAATGAATTAGAGTAGCTAATCAGCAGGAAAGTTGTTTGTGGTCGGGAGGGTCGTTTATATTCCTTGAATTTTTTGCACAAGGCATAGGCAATCAATGTATAAACTCAAGATGGATGACTGATAAGTTGCGAAAAAGGTGTTGGGGAAAATAATAGGAAGCAAAAAGACTGAAATGGAATGGTTGAGATATGTTCCAATGTGCTAGGATGGGAGATTTCGAGCCTAGATTCAAAAATTGGAATACTGCGCTTTCATTCAACCTCCAAGAAGTTAGAGAGAAAAAGAGAAGTATATTAATCAGGCTGTTGAAAATAGATATTGTTTAGTGCTTTCTAGGGTTCATAAATGTAATTTGCAAGAGTCAACTTTGGTTAAATTTACAGCATAGTGATAAGGAGATGATTTTAGCACCGGTCAGGAAAATGTTTGTTCGTTGAACGTCACGTTTTTATGTGCCTCTTTTTATAGGCTTTTTGTCCTCCATGTACTGAATATAGGGGCACGAGATCTATTTTTAAAAAGTTACATATGAATCAGATTTTGTTATGGGCTGAAGAATATTTTAATGTCATATGTTTATTTATTTGAGTCCAAGGTCGCTTATTTGTAACTATGTGCAGTTTTACATTGTATTCAACATAAATGTACTAAACCCTATTTATTATTTATTATGGCTCTAATAAGTTATTGGAATGAAACATAGTATGGATGAAAAAGGTGCATCATGCTTATTGAAGGATGTCTTAATGGTGTTTCATTATTAGAATAAAAGAAAATTTGTGGTCAATAAAGCACTGATTTTTTTAACTATTTCAAGCCCAAAATTTGACGGAAGTATAATAGATATATTTGTTTTAACTATACCTGATAATAGCTGCATTCATGTGAACTATGTCTTAACCGTCTCCCTTTTTTTTTCCACAATCGTGTGATCAGTTGATGCCTTGATGGGGATTTCGGGAAGAGGCCATGATTAGAGCCTCCTAATTTTGGGTTAGCACATATAGGAAAATTAGGTAGCCTCTATATATTTTATATTATATGAGCCCAGCTAAGATTTTTATCAACTTTTGTCCTTTGAGAAGTTATATTTCCAAAAAAAAAAAAAAAAATTCGTTCACATGACATTTGGTACCCTACTCAATCAAATTGTCTTTGTTAGATGACATAATTATTCATATTGCATTCTTTTGTCTCTCCTATATTATTTATTTGAAATTGATGCTAAAGTAGGTTTGGGATGACTAATGCATGCATAGGTACAATTATACAAGCAAGATTCTTGAGGAGTTTTACGATGTTCCTTTTTACCCCTAGTATCTCTATGGGAGTTTTATATATTATGATAAGAGAAATAGATATCCTGGTTGTGATTTCAATTTTGTGGCGTTATCCATATTTGTAGGCAGGGGGATGGAGGAAAAAAAGAGCAAGAGCAGTCAAGTGATTAATATAGAAATTTCAAGTAAGAGCAGTCAGGTGATTAATAAATAAATTTCAAGTACGAAATTAAAAGAAGTAGGAATAATGCATCAGAACATTGCAAACTGAATTGGTACTCCTCTCTAGGACTGTGGGCTAGTACATGTCAGTATTAACTTCATCATGCGTTTATTTTATACTCTATCATGAAAGTATAACGATACTTCGTCTTTTTTGTTCTGTTACATGGAAATATTATTCAAAATGAATGATAAACAGAGATAATATGTTCTGAAGTTGTCTTGTCTATGAGAAAATAATGCAGGCAACTAATACAGCCAGCCATTGAATAGATTTTCGGTTACACATTAATCTCTACAGAAACCAACAAGGGAGATGGATTGATCAGAATCAAACTTTTCAAGATATCGCTGTTTGTTACGATGAAAACATGACAGTGACTTTTCTGACACCTGAGTTATACCGTGATAGAGAGTGATGAGGTCATGATGATGCAATCTCTGGTAAACATAAGGACCAAGGTGACATACGTGTATGAGCTACTTCTGAAAGTATTTAAACATGTGAAAGACAAGGATATAAATTAATCGCCAAACTTGCAATGGCTTTAAATAATCTTTATTACTTTAACAGGGGCGGTGGCGGTTTTCACTTTTCATGGCTGAGACGATACTATATTCTTTTCATTTTACTCTGTGTGATTTTGATAAGTGCAGTTAAAAGTCATTCAGCACTCTTAGGATAGGAAGAGCAAAAGCTTGTTATTTGAGTGCATATCAATAATGTAAAATTGTTTATATATTAATTGTACTGAAGTTATACACAATAATTACGCGAGTTGGACATAGGAACTATGTGTTGATTTTGCATTGGCATTTGGTGCTGCCTTCTTTTCTAGATAGACATGCCTATCGTGTTTCTGCATACCAGAAAGTAGAAAACTGAAAAGATGTGTTACATACACGCTAATTGTTTCAAGAAAGTATCATCTACTATGCAGTCAAAAGGTTGGCGGCATTAGATTGTCGGAATGCTTTAAGTGCAAAATGCTCTGTTTTTGTCCTCTGATGGAAATAACCATTTTAAGGAAAAAATTCCAACATCTTCGTGTCTCTTGGTTCCTGCTTGTCCTTGGACTGACCTTACTCCTTGAGTCGTAGCCTTAAACTTGTTATCCACCTACATTTTAAGGTTTGTAGATTTATCAGAAACTATCCCCTTTGGGAAATTCTTCTCCTTCCTCACATTTTCCCAGTATATCTGAATATACGAAATCATTATTCTCTCCAACCAAGTATTTTGCCCTTATTGATTCATTTTCCCAATCTGTTTTGTATAAGACTGTTAAGATTGAGAACGCACATGCCACTTGAGCTGCTAAAAGTCCATAAGAAAGGCCCGAAAACCCCATTTTCTGGAAGAAGGCCAAAGCTATTGCTACAGGTGTTCCTATCAAGTAGAAAGAGTAGAAGTTAATTCTTGCACTGACACTTGGTCTAGCAGTCCCTCGGAGCACCCCGCAACAAGTGGTTTGTGGACAATTGGCAATCTCACAAAGTCCAATAATTGGCAGAACAGCCACTGTTAGCTCAAGAACTTCACTATCATCAGTGAAGACACTACCCCATGCTCTTCTCCCTAAGGTAGTCAACAGAAAACCAACTACTGATGTCGAAAAGGCTACTGCTATAGTTACTGCAGTTGCCAAACGGGCCTTATCGGGTCTCCCAGCTCCAAGTTCATTGCCTACTCTTGTTGAAATTGATGCGCTGAGAGCTGAAGGCAATGTGTACATGAGAGATGTGGTTTGTATTACTATAGCTGCTGTTGCAAGTGCAACATGAGGTTTGTCGAGGTAACCAGCTAGAAGTGTCATAAACTCATACCACCACCATTCTAAACAAACAGCTAGACAGCTAGGGATTGCTAGTCGAAGTAGCATTCCCCATTCCCCCCCTAAGGAAGTGGAATCATCCTGTTTTGAACTTGGCATTAGGAGGTTATACAAAGGCTCATTGCTCTCATGGGAATAAAGAATATAGCCCAGAAGGAAGAACAAGGTGTTAAGGTTGGCAACAAATGTGGAAATTGCAATTCCTTGGATACCAAGACGAAGATTGAAAGTTAAGAAGATTGTGATGGGAAAATGCAGAAGTGTTCCCAGCAAAGTGCACCAAAGCAATGGCCATGTTGTACCTTTACTTCGTAAGTAGATACGAAGAGGATGAAGTAGGCTATTGACAATAAGATCGGGGACTGCAAACCGGGAGTATAGGCTTGCAATATGTCCTACCTGTGGTTCTTGATGGAGCCATAGCATGAGAGGCTCAAGGTCAATCCATAAAAATCCAATGGGTATAGATGCAAATAGTAACAAAATGGTTGTTCTTTGAAGAGTATGGAACACCAAGGCTAAGTTTCTGGATCCAAAAGCTTGGCTACAAAGTGGTTCCATCCCCATGGAAAGGCCGTAAAGTACAGAGTAACCTGTGATGTTAGTGAAGCCGATGGCCAATGCGCCACCTGCCAGTTCCAAGCTTCCTATCCGTCCCATGCACACTACTGAAATCATGTTTTTCAAGTAGCTTAATAAGCCCATAGCCATTATAGGAAAACCTATCTCTAATATTTTCTTCAGCTCCTCCACTACCTAGCAATATGCCGTAAAAGAAAAAAGAGTTTGTCAGAGAATACTCATAAAGTACATTGTATGTTTTAACTGGAGTTTTTTAGCTTCTTTTGTTCTTACCTCTATCATGGTCGGGTGCTTTTGTGTGTGACTTGCTGCCATCCTTTTCCTTTTTCCCCTGTTGTTTGCTTATGTTATGAGGATAGAGACAATCCAATACCTTACACACCCTTTTGTTGCAAATACTCCAAGTTCATGCTGACACCCACACGAGAGAAAGAGAGGGAGGTGATGTTATGAGCAAGCATGGAGGAGTTTTTATAGGGGTTCAAGGTGGTGGGTTTTTCTGTTTTTTTTTTTCCCTTCTTTTCTTTTGATTAGAAAGCTATCCTGACTAAAAAAAAAATTAGAAATTGGAGAGTAGAGGTTTGGAAATGAGGCACAATAAAATGTGCTTTCAAGGAGTCCTCCAATTACAATTTGTCATTTTGCCAAATATATGAGAACATATCTACTTCCTCCACTAAGAAAATCATATAGAAGTGTTATATTACCTAAATTTACGATCAATTTTCTCATTAGAAGCTTCATATATCTAAATAAATATATGTGTGCCTTTGTATTATCTTTCAGTTTCTCCTGTTCAATGAGCGCATCTTTTACTGTTCATTTTTTTTCTTTCTTGTCAAGAGCTCAGCGTCCTAATTTTCGAACTTTTTTTCAGATTTCCTGATGAAGACAAATTAATATTTTACTTTCCATAAATGTAAAGCTGATCCTATCTCACTTCGCTTGAAGGGTTGAAAAACAATTTAGTCGTTGTTCAACATTAATGAGCTCTAATGTTTTTGGATTAAATTATTACTTATTTTCAGGAACTTGTATTGGTCTCTCACAATCCCGTTTCCACGGTTTAAGTTATCCTTAAGTTCATCTAGACTGCTTTAGCTAATTATTGAATTTCTATAATGCCTTTTTTATCAAGTTAATGATGGGAAGAAAAAAATCTATTGGGAGGGCCGTGTTTCGGGTCTCTGTCCCTTTCAAGTCTATCCAAGATTCTAGGGAAAACCCCCTTTTTTCTATAGTACCATATTCCTTTTCCAGAAAATCTATTTCAACAAACCTTCTTGCAATATCGTATTGTATCTTTTCTTCTATTTTCGATTTAGGTACAATTATAGATTTTTTTTTCTGTAGCCAAGGTGTGCAGGTGTATCCTGCGTAAAATTGTTTTACATATGCTAGGTTGTATTCTTGGATAAATGTTTGTAGTTGTTTCATATTTCATTGTTATTTCTATGATTTTTATGCAAGATAATGCACTTTGATTTTGTCTATATACTTATATAATTGGTATAGAACGTATTCGTGTGCATTTACGTATTTATGCATTTGGTTTGAAAATGTTCGAATCTATCTTAGCCCTTGTTTGGCCTCATTATAATGAGAATTTGGAAAAAAAATGTATTTTGGAATAGTAATTTTTTGAAGAATGTGTGGTTAAAAAGAATGAAAAGTTTTGAATTTACATGTAATATTATTTTCTTGAAGAATGTTTGATTGATAAAAAGGGAGAGAAAAATGAATTATTATTTTAATGGGTATTAGAGGCTTAAAACTTTTTATTACTCGTGTTAACTTTGTTACAAGTTTAGATGAGGTGAATCACTATAATATTTGTGTTGACAAAAGTCTTGAGTTCATCTCATTGTCACCTTTTACGCGTAAGTGCATATACGAATGGGCTTGATTAGAACTCGCATCACTAGTAAAGATAATAATCTTGTCAAACTTGTATGAATCCTTGCATGTGCTTATGGTTGCACCTAAATGGCTAATAAATAAATTCTTATGCATAATTATTACGACCGCTCTCATAATCTTGTAGACAAATTGCATTCTAAGCAGAATCTTTTCTTTTTATTTCCTACAATTCAAAGATGGGATATTATACCTTCCACTTAAAATAATTTGTGTATGTAAAGTGACACACGGGTGTTGAACAGAAAACAGAACATGGACCACATATTTTTTGTTGTGTCCAAAATAATTTTCTGTTGTATTTGGTCCCAGTCTCTGGGCATTGTATCAAGAAACCAAAAAAACCGGCAAAGCTTCATTTTCTTCAAATAATGGATGATAGAGCACCAATATTCTCCATGAAACCAGATATGTCAATTTATTGGTGCATAGTTGAAAATTTGCAAGTTGGACAAGACTCTACTTTATTGAGAAATAGTACATGTCAAGTGCGAGAGGATCAATTAGCAAGAAGGAAGATAAATTTTAAAGATAGGTCGAACTTTTGGAAGAAAATGAAAAAGACACACTAAAGATTGATCAAGCACGCTTGAAAGAAACATATCGAAGATTGGTTTGCTTCAGAGATGAAGTCGAAGCATGCCTGCCCGTGCGTGTTTCTACCAAGAGCTTAGTTCTCCTGGTTGTGGCCTACTCGTTACTACTCTTTAACAGCTCTACGAGGTACTTCTCTAACTCTCAGTACCAATTAAAATTTATTCACGTCTATGATATAAGTGTTTAAAAATACGCATTTTGGAGGGAACGGAATTGAGTGGTGAAAAAAGATTATTATAACAGCTCAAATTTACAAGAAATAGGACTTAATTTGTTATTGTTGTATTATATCATGACGAAATAGTACATATTCGAGAATTTGAAAAGTTGAAAATTTTCATGTAATGAGATACTAGTGTTGATGGATCATAACGTCTCTTTTAAAGCTCAAGTGACTAGAACACAAAACAAAGTTGGCATTGAATCCTTTGCCCCGCATGCAATTTGCTTTAAGAAAAGCAAAAGACGAAACCCTGATAAATATTTTGTATTCAAAGCTTTAAGAACAAATATCAATAAAACTAATATTTAGTCAAAAAATTCATCCCATAATAGTTCTTTGTAGGGCCATAGGATTGACACATCTTACTAGACGTAGCACTTGTTTCTATGTTTGTGAGTATACAGTCAAAAATACTCATTAATTCTAACACTATTAAGATTGTGCCTAACATTTGTTGAAAACGAATCAATCAATGTCTCTTTTATGGTGGATTAAGTTTTTGGACGACGCAGTTCAATATAAATGTTTCGGGTTTAAAATCGGTTGTCGAATATTAATGAAAATTATGCACGTATTAGACTTTTCATTAAAAAAAAAAAAGTTTGATGTGCATCCGATCGATCTAATGAAGATAAACGAGTGTAGTTTTCCATTCACCGGTATCTTCTACTATGCATGGGAGATTGTGTAGTGGAGCAAATCTCTTATTGACAGATCGTCCACAATATTTGGTCTCGTTTTCTCATGAGAAATGTCAACAAAAGAAAAGCCAATACTTAAAGGGGAGACAGATCCATGAAGTCTAAACAAAAAGGATACACATTTGACCATTGTGATTTCTTATATCCTTTTCGGTGCGTGCTTCTTCTGGGGGTGCACATGGGAAAATATGTCACAAGACAATTCTAGTGGAAAAATTGCACCTTAGGCTTCTATATTGAAAAAGTAACAGAGTTATGCAAAATGTCCAGTTGTTGGTGGTAGAGAATGATTTTCATTTTTTACTTTATTAAATGAAGAATTTAATAATGTAAACGTACCTTTCTTATACGGACTATGAGTTCATTAATGGAAAATCTTGAAAGTTATTTGATCTCAACTTCTTTATTCTAGAAGAGTTTGAGTAAACCTTTCTTTAGTGGAACTAAGTTGAGTTCGAAAAACATAGGCATGATATAAAAATATACCCAACAATTCGAGCTAGTTCAAACTAGATCGGATTCAATCCTATATAGGCTATACATAAGTTAAATTCCGAACCATCTATGAACTGTTGAGTCTGGACTGTGTCAAGATCAAATTTTCTTTGGAGTATATCCATAAATGAATTGTTTGCCAGACTTCTCCAACATTATAGTATGGAGTTCTGCACTGAACAATATAGTACAATAGACGAGATCTTAGTTTTTCTGTCACTACACTATTGCTGAATGAAAATGAATTATATAGTGTTGTCGAGCATTCAAGAGGCTCGACTCTCCCCTGCCATTCCCTAACTTATACGGTCACCATTTAATTCTCCCCCTATTAAATGTAAATAAAATGTATACAAAGACAATGTATATAAACAGTTGTGTTATGTTAACACAGGGCTTGACATAATGGGTGACCAAATGGGCCCATGGTGGCCCCCTATTGGGGAGGCGTTTGTGGGCCCAGACACCTCCAATAGGGTGCCGCCATGTGGCCATTTGGTCACCCATTAGCCCCCCCACCCACCATGCATCCATTTGGTCACCCATTATGTTCAAGTGAATGTTAACATAGCACAACACGTATATAAATGACTATGATACATGAATTTAATGTGGCATTCCATTTCTTTAGGCGAATTCGTTGGTCAGATTCATCCCCATCCCCTTGTGCTGACCCTCATCATCTACCTCATCAAACAAGTTACGACTCGATATTCATCTCTCTTGGACCTGCCATGAATCATTTGATGGAAGTTTGTAGTAGTATACCAGTTGACTTCTATAGGAAAGTACAGACTAAGGTACAAAGTACTTCCCCATGCAAGGCTATATTTGGTGTGAAGTTGATATCATGTGCACAATATTCTACATTGCATTCTTCATGTATAACGTGCTTGTCTGAATTCCAACTTGCGGTAAAAAAAAAAAAAGAGAATAAGCAAAATTCACTAGTGACCTCTCAGTTTAAGATGGATATATAAAGGATACCATTCTCTCTGTGCGTGATAGTTGCACCCCAATTTAGAAATCTCTCGTGTGTTTAAACTCTACTTGCATGTGTGTGTTGAGCAGACGTGTTGTGGGAGGTATTCTTATATGCTTGCATGCAAGGACGAAACACCAGGGGCGGACCTACATGAGGACCAGTGGGGTCCGTCGCCCCCACTCAATTTTTAGATTTCCAGTCAGATTTTCAGATTTTTTTAGTTTTTTTGTCCAAATTTTTTTTTAGGTTTTCAGATTTTTTCCAAAGTTCTTTAGTTTCGTCCCCACTGAACTTTCTTCCTGGATCCTCCCCTGAGTCAGAACTAGAATTAGATTTTACACGAGCTTAAATTTAGAGTTGGCTGAATCTTTTTGAGGCAATCTTATCGAGTAATTTT